TTTGCAACCATAGTAAAACAAAGACTTATATTTTTGATATTTATTTTATATATTTAAATGCCATTTAACAAAGAAAAATCAACCCAAAAAATGAGTTCGCGTGTCACCTCGCGTGTATACGTGTCATAGGTTCACCATCACTGCTTTATGGTCATGCACATATAATCTTTTTATACTCACCACTGCTAATCTTTCCATACTTACCATTTTAAGGCTGTCTTTGATTTTACCTGTCTTCTAATCAACCTATGTTTAACAAATATTACCAAACACCTACTAAATGCTATAGAAGCTACAAAAGAAATTTAGTCTGTTATTATTCTTATTCTCCAGGAGGGTAAGCCACTGTTCATTCTGATTTCTCTTACAACATGTTGGTTTGGGAGAAACACCTAAACCAAGTCTCAGGCTTTCCACTGTAATGGAATCCACAGTGAAAGGATGACTTTGCTAGAGCAGATTGAAGTTAGTAGAATGAGAGTGTGGGGAGTAAAGAACCTGGTGACCCTGTGTTAAGCGGATTCAAGTGTGGAGAACCTCAAGACGGACATCAATTAACTTTACTCAGAACAATTGTCAGTTTGGAGATATGGCACATGATCATTTCACAGGCTATCAATTTACATATCTCTACCCAGTCTTATTTCTCCTTTACCTTCTTCTTCCCATCTGTTCTTTTCTTTTCTATTATCTATTATAGAAATTGCAAAGCAGAGTGCATGGAACCACAGCAACTTCTGGAAGAACTCAGTAAGATAATAAACATGATCCCAATTTTACCCAGAAAGAAAATGTTCATAATTCAGATATCAAAGATGAATGACAGATTCTCTCAGGGTGCCTCACCATCTTTGTGAGTTCCCTTAACCATTCCTACAACTTTGTAATTTCTTCAAACCTCTCTTTGATTTTAATTTGTTTATGAATGTGCTGAATATTTGCTACTGGGACCCTGTCTGAGATTTCGTTGCTCATTGATAAAATAGAGGGAAGGATACTTGGAGGAATGTTGTAAGGATAAAATCAGATAATGGGTCTAAAGCTTCTAACACAAATTTCCACTTACTAAGTGACTGTTATCATCATTCTATTTTAAAATTCTCCAATTCATCAAAATAAAAAACATAGGATCACATACCTTTTCCTTGGCTTCTACAATGTTCTTTCCATGCTTTCAAGCAGGCAGTTAACCCTACTATTTCAACTTGATATTTCACCAAGTTACTTTTACATGATTTCAAAAAATCTTCCAGGTTCTGTATTCCAGAGTTTAAATTCTCTTTCATTTCCTCCTCAATGGAGTGTGACAGAACACTCCACTTATTCTCTTCTTTTTGTTCTTCCTTGGCAAGTAATCTCTTTTTATTCTCTCTAGCAATTATTTCAGCCTTTGTCTCCTGCCCAAAAATGAAAAGAAACATATCATGAACAAGTTGGAAATATTCCAATATTTCATGAATGAGACAATATTTTTAAGTGTATATTAGTTTTTTGGACCATCATCCCATTCTTGAATAGGCACAATTTTAGTCTGTGTCTGTTTCTTAAAATTAAAGTCTCTTGTAATTGAAAACTTATGACATTTTAATTTAATGAGTATAAAGATTAGGTGATTTTCTAGGTTTATGAGTGATCTATATTATAAATCAAAGAGTAAATATAACAAAATCAGAAACACCAGGGCACTATTTTTTTCACGTCTTCATGCACTGGTTCCTGCTGCTGCCTCTAGAATTGGTTCCCTCTTGCATTCCTCCATGGCCACCTACTTGTCCCTCAAGGTATTTCTTCCATGAAGCCTTTCCTAATTCCCTTAAGATTAAGTTATGTATTCCTCCTCTTCCTGGGCAACTATGAAAGCACTCATCACATGTATTGTAGCTGTGATGTCACTTGTCATACTTCCTCTCTAGATTAATGTCCTTAAAACTGAGTTGTCTAGATGTTACAAGTCAAAATATTTAGTTTATAATATTTGATGAATGAATGAGGAATATAAAGAAAACAATGGAAAGAAATGGGAAAAAAAGCAACAGAAGTACGACTGATTTGCGCTATCTAGATATGCATTTCCAATTGACTTAAACACAAGATGGAGCCACTTTTACTAGATTTTTACCATTTAGGTTTATTAATATACAAAGGCAAGTTAGATAATTGCTGTAGTCGCAAGATAATTCTGACAAATCTTGCACTATTCTGGTCAGTCATGAAATTAATACTTAAACTTTGCCTATAATGAAGTCAATTTTAGTTGCCATCACTTTCTCAGTGTTTAATTCTAATCAATAAATATTGAGGTTTCCCGATGTTTTAATCTTCCAAATGTACTGTCTTGGGTTAACTCAGCATGGTTTTGTCTCAATAGGACAAGGATGTCCCTTGGCTCTTTGCCTTTGAAAATGATTTTTTCTTAAATATGTAGATTTATTACACTGCTGCCAAAAGATCACACTTATATAGTACTGAGGGTATTTAATTCCCATGAGGTTATTTAATTTCTAACAATATGGAAGAAAAAAAAGCATGGAATTTTTTTGTCTTTAGAACCTGTGCTATGTAATGAGGGTTTTTACAAACTTGACATTTTATCACCTCTCAAAAAAACAAAAGACAAAAACAAAAACGAAGAAGGTACATCTTGATAGCCCTAAATGAAGAAAGCTGTAATTGGATGTTCTCATTAATAAAATTGGCTATAAAAAATGTCATCATGACAAATAGAAAAATTATGACCACCTAGTTCGGCTTGGGGAAGCTGCTTTTTTACTATAAGAACAAATGTCCTCATTTCTTCATGGACTTCCTTTTTTAATTTCAGCTTTATTGAGACATACTTGGCAAATAACATTGTAAGATATTTAAAGTGTACATCCTGGTGATTGATATACATATACATTTTGGAAGGGTTCCCCACATTGAGCAAATTTACCCATTCATCACCTCACATATTTATTTATGGTTAGAACATTGAACATCTATTTTCTTAGCAAATGTCAATTATACAACACAATGTTATCAACTATACTCACCATGTTTTACGAGCTCCTCAGACATTATTTCTTTTAGAACTGAAAGTTTGTACCCTTTTACTAACCTCTCCCTATTTCCTCCAACTCCCAGCCCCCGGCAACTTTTCTACTATCTGTTTCTAGCAGTTTGACCTTTTTTTTCTTTCTTTTTTTTTTTCTTTTTTAGATTTCACATATAAGAATTGTTTGTGTGAAAATGCCATTGGAATTGTGATAGTGATTGTACTGAGTCTTTAGATTGCTTTTGGTAGTATGACATTTTAGTAATATTAATTCTTCTAGTTCATAGGCATAGAATGTCTTTCCATTTCCTTTTTTCTTTTTTAGTTTCTTTTATCAATATCTTATAATTTTCAGTGTACAGTTCTTTCACCTCCTTGGTTAAATTTATTTCTCAGTATTTTATTTTTTATTAAATCATCACCCAAGAATATGATTTTTATTGATTTTCTGACGGGGGGTGGAGAGAGAGAGAGAGAGAGAGAGAGAGAGAGAGAGAGAGAGAGAAATGAGAGAGAAACTTTGATCAGTTGCTTCCCATGTGCACCTCAACTAAGGATCGAACCTGAAACCTTAGCAACCTGGCCAGGCCAGTATTTTATTATTTTAAATGAAATTGAAAATGGGACTGTTTTCTTAATTTCTTTTTCTGATAGTTCATTGTATATAGAAACGCAACAGATTTTTGTTGCATTATTTTCCATATGAACAACTATAAACCTACTTTTGCCCCCACCCTATATGTCACTGTGCCAGGGGTGGGGCTTACTGCAAGAGTTATATCTCAGCTTCGTCTTCCTGTTTTATTGGGGGTTTTTCTCATTCACCCAATGTGTAAGAGTCCATTCAGCTAGCTTCTGGATTTCCTTCAGTGGGAATTTTAAAGGGAATAACTAAGCAAGGTATAAATTCAGTATGTCCATGGGAGGAGGTGAGTTCAGCCAACTCTCATATTGCCATCTTGAACCAGAACTCCCAAAGAGCTAGATATATTTTTACTGTTATCTCAATGATTTTACATCCAAGCCTTCAGTTTTATTTTTGTTAACAAATATATATATTTTAGATATGCAGATTAGAGCATCTTAGCAAGTAAATAAAATAATAGATGATCATATATATATGCATATATACTATATATGCATATATATGCATACTATATAGTATATATGCATATAGTATATATGCCCGTATATAATATATATGCCCATATATAGTATATATGCATAGCATTGTAAGAAACTACCAGAGACTGAACAAAATAGCTTAAAAAGAGGCAAAAAAGTAAAATATTTTGATAGAATTTATAGAACCTACATTTGCCTTTTTGGTCTTGGGTTTACTGAAATTCTTCTTTGGCTTGACATCTTGAGTTACAATGAGTTTGGGAGAGACTGATTCTAATGAATTTCCATAAAATCGCTGAAAAACTTGATACTTTTGCAGAGATTTAAGGTAATAAGGATCTCTAGGGTTTCCTGAAAAGGAAAAGACAAAATGTAATACAACTGCATTTCTTCAATAGTATTCTCACTAATTATTCACATCATCCCAATCTAACATGCACTTTCTTTTTGAGTTTGGAACAGTAACTTATTGTTCACTTTTGTTAAAGAGGGGATCTTTAACTCAGACTATCTCATCTGTAGGACAATTCCTTACTTTATTTAAAGGATATAAATGATAAAGCATTCTTTCATTATCTACCTCTCAAAACAAATATCAGGATGCTATGACAGATTCTAGGCATTCCCTTTGTCATATGTCTTGTGACTAAAGTTAAGAAAAGGAAAGTAGAGGCAGAGTCAAGAAGATAGCCATTTAGGATATTCTGGCTTTTTGCATCACTTAAAGGAAAAATCATTACTCCAGACCATAGTCACAGAATCAAGAGTTTGGAAGCTGAGAAAAAGTTACTCTATGGTAAAATCTAATAACAGAGTAAATCTTAACAGTCAAGATGTGACATACTCCCTTACCCAAGAATAAGTACAATACTCAAAGGGAATAACTACGGTAGTTAATTTTTCTATGTCTATCTACATATATCAAATCAAACCACTCTGAAGGATATTAATGGTTCATCTAAAACAGTGGTTCTCAACCTTCCTAATGCCATGACCCTTTAATACAGTTCCTCATTTTGTGGTGACCCCCAACCATAAAATTATTTTTGTTGCCATTTCATAACTGTAATTTTGCTACTGTTATGAATTGTAATGTAAATATCTGATATTTAGGATGTATGTTCATTGTTACAAATTGAACATAATTAAAGCATAGTGATTAATCACAAAAACAATATGTAATGATATATGTGTTTTCCGATGGTCTTAGGCGACCCCTGTGAAAGGCTGGCGACCCACAAGTTGAGAATCGCTGATGTAAAAGATCCGCTTGCATCTCGCAGGATCTTGTTAGTTGTTTATAGCAGGTTGATGACTATTTCGTATGAGCATGCTTACTATGCACACTCCTAGATTCTCCTGAAAGCAAGTTTTGTCAACTTGCAGGGAGGAGTGGGTATGAGCATAGAACAAAGGTGAAATGAATGATCCAAGGACACCAGATCCCTAATTCAGCCTCTGTTGATGTACTGCTAGTGCAGTGGTCGGCAAACTGTGGCTCGGCAAACCACGGCTCGTGAGCCACATGTGGCTCTTTGGCCCCTTCAGTGTGGCTCTTCCACAAAATACCAAGTTCTGAGCATGGGCCACGAAGTTTCAATCGCACTATATGTGCACGCCCACACATGGTATTTTGTGGAAGAGCCACACTCAAGGGGCCAAAGAGCTGCATGTGGCTCATGAGCCGTGGTTTGCCAACCATGGCACTAGTGGTTTTATGGGGCTCCATTTATAGTTCCTACCATCCTAAGCATGAAGGCAGATAAAATGATGGCACTTGTTAAACGTTGTCAATTGGGTGGTGTGAAAGCAACTGCAACTGCTTGAAAGACTATGGCCCTAATATTTTTGACATCAAGGAATACACAGAATTCTTTAATTATAAATTGTCTTTGCTTAAGACAGCTCCTAACTTTTGTGGGGACAAATGCCATCTTTGTGTGCTTCCTCCTAAGACACTGACATACCTATGTAGATATGACTGTCAGTAAACGAAATGGGACTCTTCTCTACCATTTTTACTGACATTCACCTACAGATTTTCTGGACTAGTCTTACTCAAGAAATATAATTTGTGGCACATAGTATGCTGATATTTCATTCTGAGATAAAAGACAGAGAATGAAATTGGTTTTAGTTTATTTCACCAGAGTCACAGAGCTCACCATTAAAAGAGGACTTTGCCCTATCATAATCATCACTAAGGGGTCTGTGAGAATGCCAATGTACAAGTTCATCAAATGCTTTATGTTTCACCAGTGAAGTTACAATCGGATCATCCCTATGAGATAAAAAGAAATATATTCATATTTTAAAGTACAGACATTTTAATATAACATAGATTATAATTTGCAATCATATTTTTTTAAAAAATTAAGCCCTCTTTCCTCTTTCTGTGATATGATATAAATAGTTGAACCCAAAGAGCAGTTTATTAGAGGCTTAATAATCCAGAATCCACTTGATGTTTTAAACAGTCCCATCAACGTCAAAAAATATTAATGAATTCATTAATTAAAAACATTCAGCTCGAGTGATTTTACTCTAAGATTAAAACCATGTTGATTTTCACCTAGTATTAATCAAAGGACGTTGATAAATTTGATATCAAACTCATATGTTTTACAAACACATATTATATCTAATATACTCTAATCTGTTATAGTTCAAAGAATCTTTAATGATTAATTATTCTACTCCATACAAGTGTTTATAAGGGCACTTTTGGCCTTATACCTCTTTAAGAAAGGCAAATCTTTCAAAATGTCACCAACAAATTTATCAACCATCTCTGATGACATTGGAATAAAACCCAAATTGGGCATCTTTTCCTTGGAGGTGTCTGCAAACAAAATATTAAGACAGGGTCAAATGCGAAACTTTCATACAGGGCTATTACACATTATTTTCTAAAACTTTACATTAAAAAAACATTTTTCATTGATCTTATTCACATTTATTAAATTCCAGGCCTTCCTAGAAAGGTATTTCCTGCATCAAAACATTTTGGAAAACCATAGGATATAAACAAATAGATATCATTTAAGTAGGTAGGTGGGCAGGAAAATATCAGACATATCACATGCATGCCACATATATATGATAGTTGGCAAATAAAAGCTTTTATTTAGTATCCGGTTCATAATTCTAGGTAACCTGCCATTGCTCTGCTCATCACCCCTCGGTGTTCACTGTTTCTATCTTTGCCGAATCCCTTCCTGCCTGAGCTCTACAGCTCTCTGCCTGAGCACTTCTTATCTTATGGTCCATGTGGAGCAGTGCTAAGAATTTAATGCTCCACAGTAGTCCTCAACCAAAGGCTGAGAGTCCCAGTATAATGGAACCATAGTTGCCCACAGTGGAAATCTATTCATTAACTTGTCCTGCATTTATTTTCCTCTCTTCCTTATCTAATCTTACCACTAACTGATTTGATCTTTCTGGGATCAATAGACTACTGGCACTTTAGTTTCTGCCTGGTGAAATTTATCCTGACAGAAGGGAAGGGGAAAGATATATATATTCTCTCTCCATGTCATGAAAAATATCCTTATATCAATACATCCTAAACCCCATTAGCTTTTGTTGTCATTCATTCTGGGATCATTTTCTTCTTCCTGAAATTCATCAAACAGAAATATCATCAGTGATGCTTTGATGATGGGTAAATCAGTTTTGTATTTCTGAAAATATCCATATTACTCCTTCATTCATAAACTATATTTTAAGAATTACATATAATGTCACTCTATTCTGACTTCTATTATCATTATTATTGAAAAAGTCTATTACTAGACTTTCTGTTCTTTTATAAATAATTAATTCTTTTTAAGATATTTATTTCTATATTCTACAATTTTATTCTATTGTTTCAAGTGGGTGTATTTGCCTAAGAGTGTGAATATCTACGTTTAATTTATTCCACTTGGGATTCATAATACATTCTGAATGTGCAAATTCTTATCTTTCATCAATCCAAGCAAATGCCCAACCTTGATCTCTTCAATTATTTCCCAACCCACATTGACTCAATCTCTCCTTCTGAATCTCTAAATGAATGAAAGGTTGACTTCTTCATTCTATCCTTCATATATATATATATTAATCCTCATCCAAAAGTATGGTTACTGATTTGAAAGAGAAGGGAGGGGGGAATAGGAAGAGGGAGGGAGGGATGGAGGGAGGGAGAGAGAGAGAGGGAGAGGGGGAGGGGGAGAGAGAGAGAGAGAGAGAGAGACATTGACGTGAGAAAGCACTTCCTGTATACGCCTGGACCAGGATCAAACCCACAACCTTCTGATGTACAAGATGACGCTCTAAACAAGAGCCACACCAATCAGGGCTTCTTCATATATTTTTATATTTATTATTTATTTTTGTTTTTGTTTTTTATTTATTTATAAATTGTTTTCCAGTTTTATTGAAGTGTAATCAACATATAGCTGTGTAAATTTAAGGTGTAAAATGTGTTAATCTCTAGTGCTATGTAATTCTTTTGATCAATTTCTAGTTCACAAATTCTCTTTAGCAAAATTCAATCAGCTTCTTAACTCATCTGTTGATAATATTTTCATTTCTAAAAGTTTGGTTATTTTAAAATGAAAATGATGTTTTATAGTATTTTATTTTCTCATGTGTCAAGTCTCATATTTTATTTTTTTAAATATATTTTATTGATTTTTCACAGAGAGGAAGGGAGAGAGATAGAAAGTTAGAGACATCGATGAGAGAGAAACATCGATCAGCTGCCTCCTGCACATCTCCCACTGTGGATGTGCCCGCAACCAAGGTACATGCCCTTGACCGGAATCGAACCTGGGACCTTTCAGTCCGCAGGCTGACACTCTATCCACTGAGCCAAACCGGTTTCGGCTCATATTTTATATTTTAAAACATTTAAAACACATATATAGCATATTTTAGATTTGGTAATTATAAAATCTGAAGTATTTAAGAGTTCTCGATTTTTTCTCTTATTGTTTTTCTTAGGGCTTATTTCCTTTGTTGTTTGAAAATTTGTATTTACACTAATATTTGGCAGAAAATCCTGTAAACTAAGGTGGCTTAGAGTTATCTGCTAACACAGTTAATCAGAGCCCCAAATGCTTGGGAGGGCAGATCAATAACCAGAAACTCTCAGTGATTTACTTGCCATTACCCAGGGAGCAGACTTTCTTTATTTTAGGCCCCTGGGATTTCCATTTTGTTGTTTTCAGCTTAGCTATAATTATATAAAAAGACTAGAGACCCGGTGCATGAAATTCGTGCACTGGGCGGGTGGGGTTCCCTCACCCCAGCCTGCCCCTCAGTCCGGGAGCCCTCAGTGGATGTCCTACTGATGGCCACAGTCTGGCAGCAGAGGCTTGGAGCAGGCATCGTGTGTGTGTGTGTGTGTGTGTGTGTGTCCACTGGCTGGTCTGCCCCCAGCCACATTGGAGGTTCTGAGTAGGCACTGCGTGTGTGTGTGTGTGTGTGTCTGCTGGGGACCTGGCACCAGCCACACCATGGAGGCTTGGAGCAGGCGCCCCTCTCTGTTGATCTTTCAGGCTCCTGGCCTCCACTGCTTGTTGTACTCTCCCTTGAGCTGTGGCCAGCATGAGGTGTTGCCTGCAGGCTGCCCTTTCCTGCTCTGGGATCACCGCTGGCGACCCAGGAGCAGGCCTTGCTGGGTGCTGCCTACAGGCCGCATTTTCCTGCTCACTGATCGCTGGATCACCAGGGCACCCGGAGTCAGGCCCTGCTGGGTGCTGCCTGTGGGCAGCACTTTCCTGCTCTCTAATCGCCATGGGGTCCCGACAGGGGGCTGGTTTTAGGTGGCACGGGTCTTAGGGGACACACAGGGGTCCTGGCTGGGGGCGGGGCTGCACACAGGGCCCGGATGGAAGCTCGCACTGTCCCGCCCTGCCTGCAGTATGCAAATTAGTCGCCATCTTTGTTGGTGGCTAATTTGTATATCACGCTGATTAGCCAATGGGAGGCATAGCAAAGGTACGGTCAATTACCATCTTTGTCTATTATTAGATAGGATGTTTGGTATCTCAATGGTTGGCCATAAGAGATTATTATCACTTGATCTATATACTGTCAAATTAATGAAAATGGCAGTAACCTATGTCTGGCTTTTTTTTTTTATAACAACATTAGTTACAAGCAAAACATATAACATTTCTAAACTATAATCATAGCATATCACCCTGATGAAATGACAACAAGGGTAATTTATTATTAAACTGCATAGTGCCAGAAAAGTATTTATATTTGCAGCATTTAGGTAGTGGTACTTTCAAAATATTTTCAGAGAAATGATGCTTTATATATATTTCAGATTAACTTAGAGTGTTATTACCTTTTATTGGTACTGGGTCCTTTTTAAGAAAATTAAGTTGTGTTGTTCTCAGAGGAAATGGCTTTCCAACATCAAACTTTCTGACCAACTTTGATACAGCATCCCAGAGATATTCATAATCTTTCATAATGTCATTTCCCAAATTCAAATGTAGGCCTAAATAATAGTTTAAAATACTAACTGTTAAAAGTCATTCACACATATGCAGAAACATGCATTTTTATTAAATTCATAGATCTCTGAAATACTTGTCAAACAGTAAAATTTTCAGTGGGTTCTACACTGCACCTATATGAAAATGGTCTCTAGATTGACTATGATATTGAAGATTTAAAATTTTATCTTGTCCTATTTTATAACAAGTATTAAAGGTATGACTATCTTAACTAACAATAACAGATGATGCATATCTAGTTATCATTTAAGGTAATAAAAATGTTAGGTCACACAGAACATTACAATCAATAAAACTGAATAAAAACTATGATTTTTCAGAAAATGTATAGAGGATTGCTAAACTTATATGTAGCCAATTTATTTCAATGCTTGCAATATGAAAGAACCAAATCATAGGGGGTCAAAGAAACATCAATAATGCCCAGCTGTAGTTCTCTTAGAATGTTTTATTTTTTATTATTAAGGAGCAACAGAAAAGTTATTCTAAGAAAATAAGTCAAAGAAAGAAAAACAAATCAGATATTACAAATGCATAAATCAGCTTTATCTTTTGAAAAATATTCCTTAAATATCTAATAGTAAATGATGATATTAATCAGAGTAAATATTATGGGAAAAAGTTATGCATTTATTTAAATGAAAAATTAAACTTAAATTACCAATCTTTTTTCAAAAAATATCTGTGGAATAATATTAAATTAAAAGAAGTTTTAAAATACAATACCCACTTAAACTGCAACTACATAAAACATATACATGTATAAACAAAGATTGGAAGGAGAGTTATTGTTATGTTATATATTGGAAATATAGGGAAATTATTTTTGAAGTTTTAAATTTTTTACATTGTTTATCTCTGGATGAAAGTATAATTATTACAATATGCTAAGATAGTACCTTGAACATTTTCATTTTCATAGTAAAAAGCAATATTCTTCAACAAAAGCTCATCACTTAAGTCACAAAGGTGAATTAAATTCAGATTCCAAAATTCAAAAATGTTTCTATTATTTAGGATGAAATATTCACACCACTTTCTCTGAAAATTGGAAATTAAAAAAACCAAGTTATTGACAATTTCCATATTAGCAATAAGCTATAACATGACTTGAAAATGTCTGTAACCCAACAGATAGGCAAATTGGCAGGGCTCTTTCCAATTCTTATTAGCGTAAACCCTTTCAATCTGGGTAGTTATGAATAATTTATACCTTAAAAGTCAAAGTATAAATAAAATTAAATTGACCAAAAAAAATGAGTTTAGTGTAGTTCCTTATTCTGAAGCAGAGAAGTCCATATTTAACTCTTACTACCCTTTTTTCCATGCTTTCAATATGAAAGAACAGAGTCCCAACGCTTTAGAAATATTTTTGCTTTCAAATGTGCCTCTGTTCTTTACTTAGGTTTTAATGTTTTCCAATTTTACTTTCAGGTCAAAAGAGCATTTGGTTGTTCAGGGACCTAGAAGATGCTGAATCCTTCAAACTCAAAGATTCTCATTTGTCTACACCAGTGGTCGGCAAACTGCGGCTCACGAGCCACATGCGGCTCTTTGGCCCCTTGAGTGTGGCTCTTCCACAAAATACCACGTGCAGGCGCGCATGTACAGTGCGACTGAAACTTCGTGGCCCATGCGCAGAAGTTGGTATTTTGTGGAAGAGCCACACTCAAGGGGGCAAAGAGCTGTATGTGGCTCGCGAGGCGCAGTTTGCCGACCACTGGTCTACACTGATGTCCACCTACCAGGTTGATGATCTGGGGCTATGTTCCCACCTAACACAGACAGAATGTCTTCACTGACCACACTTAGTTCAGGGAAGTGTATGAGGAAGCAACCTCAGCAAGTGAGAGTCTAGTCATCCCCTCAGTCAATACTAGTGTTGGGAGAGTTAAGTTCCAAGGAGGAAAACTGAGGCTTCTCTGCTCCACACTTGACTGATGAGTTTAAAACATAAGAGCAAGAGCAAGGGTTTAAAGCATGGGGAGAGGGAAAAACAAGCATCCCCATTATGAAATCAACCAAGATCTCTAAAACAAAGAAGCCTGGGGGTGAGGGTTGGCAGGGGGCACCCTGGTATTTTATGTAGTTCTGTGGCCTGCAAAGTGTTTATTAGAGATAGCCACTTGCAGTGGATGCTTGTTTGAAGTGAATGCCTGGGCAATCAAAGCCTAATTCAGATACAGTACTTAGATTACAAAAAGAAAATCAACTTTCAGAGTTTACAGTTGTTTGTGGTGATGCTGGTATAAACAAACCGACTGCACTGCTAGCATAGTTCTCAGAGAGGAGCAAATTTAAACTACAATGAGATATCGCTTCACACCTTCCAGAATGGCTACCATCAATGAATCAACAGCCAATAAGTGCTGGCAAAGATGTGGAGAAAAGGGAAACCTGGTGCACTGTTGGGAATGCAGACTGGTGCCGCCACTGTGGAAAGCAGTGCGGAGTTTCCTCAAGAAATTAAAAGTGGAACTGCCTTTTGACCCAGAGAACACACTTCTGGGAATATACCCTAAGAATCATGAAACACCAATCAGAAAGAATAGATGCACTCCTATGTTCATAGCAGCATATTTACAATAGCTAAGATCTGGAAACAGACCAGTGCCCATTAGTAGATGCGTGGATAAAAAAAGCTATGGTACATTTACACAATGGGATACTAGGCAGCTATAAAAAAGGACTCTTACCTTTAGCGACAGAATGGATAGACCTGGAGATTATTATGCTAAGCAAAATAAGCCAGTCAGAGAAAGACAAATAAATGCCATATGATCTCACTTATATGTGGAATTTAATGAACAAAATAAACTCATGAATAAAATAGAACCAGAGGTATAGATACATGGAACAGACTGACAGATGTCATAGGGAAGGGGTGTGTGGGGGACTGGATGAAAGAAGGTAAAGAGATTAGCCAGAGGACATGTATGCATAGTGCATGGACACAGACAACAGTGTGGTGATGACCAGAGGGAGGGGGGGCCTGGGTGGAGGTAGGCAAAGGGGGTAAAATGGGGGGGGGGGAACATCTACAATAGTGTCAACAATAAAAAAGTATAGTCATACAATCACGGTGGTAGGCTACCATCTAGGTTTATTAAGTGCATTCTATGATGTTCATATAATGAGGAAATCGTCTGATAATGCAATTCTCAGAACTATCCCCATAGTTATGCAAAGCATAACTGAAGAACACTAAAGAGATTCCACACAACTACAGAGCAGTGGTTCTCAAACTTCAGCATAAACCTTAATTAGAAAGGATGTTAAATAAAACACATGTTTCTAGGCACCATCCCCAGCGATTGATTTAATAGGTCTGGAGTCAAGCCTAAAAATTTGTACTTCTATCAAGTTCCCAAGAAATGTTTCTGCTGTTGGTCAGGGGGCCATACTTTGAGAAGCAATGCCATGTAACAGCCTGCCCCACCAATCCTTTCCCATAATACCACTGAGTAAATAGTACTATGTGAAAACAGTACAGCAACTGCTTCTCATTTTATTCACTTCATACAAGAAGCACCTGTGTGGTCTCTGAATGTCAAGATTTGAGTAAGCATAAAACTCTCCCTTCCATTTTCTTGGCTGTTTTCTCCAGAAGCCTCAGAATAAGCCCTTTATTATGAAACTAGAGACCCAGTGCGCAGATTCGTGCACCGTGGAGTCCCTCAGCGTGGCCTGCGGGGAATGGGACAAAACTGGCAGTCCAATGCCGCCTGCTGCTTCTGCCTGCAGTTCCTGCTCATCCTGGCCCTGCTGCACCTGCCATGGGCTCACGCCCAGTCAGTCCCAATCGGGAGAGGCCCATGCCTGACCTGCATTGAGCATCTGCCCCCTGGTGGTCAGTGCGCATCATAGTGACCAGTCGACCGGTCATTTGGTCACTTAGGCTTTTATATACGTAGATTTTCAGAGGCTATCTGAAGTTATCAAGATAAAGCATAGAGAATGGGAAAAAGCAGAAGTTTGCTTGCCTATGGAGTAATCAGAAAGCAGAGTATATTGGGAAAGGAAGAGGTTTGGAAGCTGGACATAGATGAAGTTAGATTCCAACTTGATCATTTATTAGTTGTGCTAATTGGCCATTTAACCTCTCTGAGCCCAAGTTTTTTATGTGTAAAGTGAGAACATAAGAGGAGTGTTATGGATGAATGAGGTAACATAGGTCCACACAAAGCTGGTGAAGGATAAATAGTAGCTATTCCTACTGTAATCCATGCATCCTAATTAAAGAAGGGAATCCACCTCTGTCCAAAGACATCCCCTAGATCCCACCCCCCTCACCTTAATTTCCCTGTATTTTCATCCTACCTTCTCTTAATTTCTATAATCAGCATCTAAGTATGTTCAATCATTGCCATTTTATTTATCAATTTTTAATCTTTTTTAAAAATATATTTTTATTTGTTTCAGAGAGAGAAGGGGGGAAGGAGAAATAGTAACATCAATGATGAGAGAAAATCATTGATAGGCTGTCTCACGCTAGCCCCCTACCAGGGAACAAGCCCACAACCCAGGCATGTGCCCTGACTGGGAATTGAACCATGGTCTCCTGTTTCATGGGTTGACACCCAACCACTGAGCAACACTGGCTGGGCAATCTTTGCCATTTTAAAAGTGTATTTAATTGGCCCACTTTCCTCTCCAACTTTATCTAATGTCACTGTCCTTATTCTCAACTTCTTACATATAAATTACTTTTCACCTATATTTTCTCCCTTCCACTCACTACCGAATTCATTTTAACAAACATTGTGCTTCCCACCACTCCATTAATAGGTCTCTTAATTATGATCAACAGTAAGCTCTAGGCCATTTAACCCAATGTATTAATTTTAGTTCTCAACCTCCTACAATTCTCTACAACATTTCCACTGACATTCAGAACAATCCATTCTCCTAGGTTTCCTTCCTATTCATCTAAGCAGCTTTTTCTCAGTATCTTTGTCAGTATCTCAACCTTTTCTTAACTATTTATTATGAGAACTAGAGGCCCGATGCACGAAATTTGTGCACTCGGGGATGGGAGGGATCCTGTGCCCTCTCACAGTGTGGGTGCCCCGCAATCGACCTCCCCAAAGACATAGGCCTTGCCCACTCACATGCGCCCACTGCGTACACAGCCTCCTGGTGATCGCTCGTTGCGGCGTGAAGGCATCACGACATGAGGGCGTGATGACCACATAGGCTTTTATTAGTATAGATATCTCAGGTCTCTGCTTAGGCTATCTTATCAAATCTCTCTCCCAAAATAATTTCATCCACAAGATAGCATTAATTGATATCAATCGATCTAGTTGGATATTTCATTGGCACCTTAAACTCAGTATTTCCAAAATTGAACTCAGGATCTTCCTCTGGAGGGTCCTTCGTACAGTACAATGGTGTCACCCACCCGCCAAATGCTCAATCTAGAGAATTAGAGTCACTTGACTCCTTCCTTTACCACATGTCCCACACTCAATCACTAAACTTGTCAATTCCAAAACTTAACTCTTGGATTTGCCTGCTGCTTTTCATCCTTTTTTTCCCACTTCCTTAGTCCCTAACATTATCAACAGTTATATGAACTAATAGTCATCGACCTGGTGTCCCCAAATCCAATGTTGTGCATCTACAATGTTATCTCTGCATTACAAGCCAGAGAAAATTTTGAAAATGGAAGTGCCACTCATCTGCTTGACATTCAACCAATCAGTTGGTTCTCATTGTGTTTACAACCAAGTTTTATCTCCACTCCCTTAACAGATCTACAGAGTTCTAAATGATTTACTTCTTAACCACTCTTCAGCTTTCCCATAGTCTTTCTATTCCAGTTACACTTCATGAAGTTCAGTTCCTTGGTCATGCCATCCTCAGGGTAATCATGCATGCTGTTTTATCGTCTGGAATCCAGTTTTCATCCTCTCTTCAACTTGCTAAGTCCTACGCATCCTTTAAGACTTGGGTTACTTCTCTTCATTTCTTAAGAGAAGCCATCCTTTTCAGACTGGGTAGAGTTCTTCTGTGATCATATTCTAAACCAGGGGTCTTCAAACTATGGCCCGCGGGCCATATGCAAATACAAATATTGTATTTATTCCCGTTTTGTTTTTTAACTTAAAAATAAGATATGTGCAGTGTGCATAGGAATTTGTTCATAGTTTCTTTTTAAACTATAGTCCGGCCCTCCAACAGTCTGAGGGACAGTGAACCGGCCCCCTGTTTAAAAAGTTTGAGGACCCCTGTTCTAAACCATCCTATAGTCCCTCTTTCATAGTAATTTAAAAAATTCACTATCTGTCTTTGCTGCAAAATGTAACTCTATGAAGGTGGTGGGGTGGAAGGAGTAAGTGTTGTCTCATTTTTTTCTCACTGTAGTCCCAGTGATTCACACAATTCATGTGCATTAGATAAATATGTATGGACTGGCCTCCTAACTAATTGGGATATAGTATCAAAATCATTTTTTTAAAGCCTACATCAATTGATCCACTAATCTCATTGCTGGATATCTCCAAATTAAAGGGAAAGGTTTATACTTAAATAACCTAGAGAATAGCAGCATCTATAATACAATATTTAAACCTCCTAATATCCCATAATAGAGAAGTGGGTAAGTAAAATGTGGTACATCCATTAAAAAAATAACTGGTAGCCATTTAAAAAATGATGCTAAGAATGTGAAAGAAAACAGAAAAAATATGTGAAAAAAATATATAGATTTCCAATGTTAGAAACAATAACAAATAACAGAAAAATCTAGGCATTTAAAATAAAAAAATAAACCAAAATATCAATAATTGCCAAAATTGACTAAATGGTGGGTTTTTCTGTTGTTTTTGCTTTCTATTTTCTTAAAGTCTACACATTTTCTATAACTATCCTCTATAATAGGCAAAAATAATACCCTATTACACTTACTTATTCAATTCCTCTCAAGCGCAGAACACAATGGTCACCAATCCCTTATAGTTGATAACACACAAAAAAACTAATCTTGACAGAGATTAAAAGAAGGAAAATAGATTTTTTTCCTTAGACTCAATATACAGAATGTTGTCTGTTATGACTACCAAAGAGAGTAGTTGGAATTAGGAAGTGATTTGATTTAGGCCATTTGACTTTTAAAGCCCCCACAGGGCTGACATGGTTCTCATATAAGTCTAGTTTTGCAGGTGGTTGTGGTTCTATATAGATGAAACAGTTGAAACAAAAAGTAAATAATAAATTAACAAAGAACATATTTACCATTTTTAGGAAAGTCTGAATGTCCTCGATCCAATCGGAAGTGATGACTCTGGTACAAGCTCTTTGAGAAAGAGGTAAGTGGAGTAGAAAAACCACACTGAGACAATGCAGCTTACACAGATCTTCCATCCATCGCAGGCTTAAGCAATCGCCTTTCACCTGCATAAAACGAAGAAGGTAAGCCAGCGCCCAGTGGCTGTGAGAGACACACACGGCACCACAGCAGTAGCTAGCCACATTCAATTTTGAGAAAGTTCTTTTCTTCACACATAAACTTGGCTGAGTTTATACAGATGTGAGGTAAGGGGGGCAGGGAACTGCCAGTTCAATAGCAGTTTGCATAAAAAGCATTTTTTAGTATTCTCAGTTAAGCCAACCTTTACACGAAATGACCAAACAGCTAATGAAGTAATGATCCTGCAAGACTCAGCACTGACAGAACCACACATTCAATACTCTAGTCTGGCCCTAGCTGGTTTTGCTCAGTGGATAGAGTACTGAAAGGTCCCAGGTTCAATTCTGGTCAAGGGCACATGCCATGGTTGCAGGCTCGATCCCCAATAGGGGGCAGCCAATCAATGATTCTCTCTCATCATTGATGTTTCTATCTCTCTCTCCCTCTCCTTTCCTCTCTGAAATCAATAAAAATATATTTTTAAAAATGCTCTAGTCTGTCCAACACATCACATTTTAAAAGTTACATTGAAAATTACTAGAGTGAGGAAACCAGGACATTTCTAAAACACTTATCGAATTAGAAAAAGGGTTAAGTGGACATATTTAACATGATAGGACAAAGACCTCAAAGCCATCTCCAAATTTACAAAACTAAGACTTGTTTCAGAGTATCTCCAAAGGAGAAATAGGGTCTAAAGGTAGAAATTCCAGAGAGATACATTTGGTTTAGTATCGTTTTTCTGATAACAATTTAAAATGGCCGGCCTAATCATGTACAAATATTTTACTAAGAACATATAGGTGGGGCAAAAGTAGGTTTATAGTTGTGAGTTAAGCAAAACACACAGTCTCTTTTTCTTTTTTTTTTTCTAATCCTCACCCAAGGATATTTTTTTATTGATTTTTAGAGAGAGAGGAAAGGAGAGAAAGAAAAACATCAATCAGTTGCCTCAGGATACCCCTCCCCCTTCATGGGGGATCAAACCCACAACCTAGGTATGTGCCCTGACCGGGAATCAAACCCACCATCTTTTGATGTATATGATGACATTCCAACCAACGGAACCATCCAGCCAGGGCAATGTTTATGCTTGTATTATTATTCATTAATTATTGTATTATTTACTGTTATATTTTCCATGCTAATAACTATAGAACTACTTTTGCCCCACCCTGTATTCAAGCAGATATTGAAAAGCCAAATATTATATAAAGGATGCTAGGTTAAAGATAATAAGCACTGCTCATTTCTAAAATTGTAGGAGAGAGACACAAACTTCATGTTTCTTTAATAAGAATACTTAACCAATAATCCCCCAGCACTCAAACTGTTTACAAAATAGTATGTGTACAAATGTGTGTGTCTGAGAGTGTGTGTCTGTGCCTATGTATGTGTGCACAAATATATAGGGATAACTATTTAGTTGAGAGCAAACCTATACTGGTCAACATATTCTTAATGAACTCTATCAACCATCAAAAGGTTAAGATTTTTAGTGTCTCTCCAGCGAGGATGGCACTAAGATATTCTTTCAAAATACAGTTTGGTATCATGGAACTTGAACAAGACAGACCCAGGGTCAATCCACACTGCTCTTTAATACCTTTGGTTTAAGGAATGTTACCTGCAATATCTGAACCTCAGTGTTCTCATATGTGAAAAGGGATCATAGTACCTCCCTTGAGAATATAATGACATTGAGGCATATAAAGTGCCCAGAACTCTGCAAGATTGTAAGCTCTCACCAAGTACTAATTTCCTTTTTCATTTCCCCTTCCTCTGGCTGGTTGGACAAATTTGATTAAATATGTAATGAGGGAAACATCTGCATAGTAAAACACTAAATCTTATAGTGGCACAATGCGTGTTTTTTAATAAACAAAATCTAGATTTGTTTATATAAACAATTTGTATATAATTTGTATATAAATAAATTAAGGAAATAAGTGAATACCAAATGGAAGAAATGGTAGATGGAAATCAATAGAATTTCAAAAGTTGAGAGCAATGGTGTTTCACAGTAAAGTGATAACAATCACACCTGTTGGATGTTAGTTTCCTGACCAGAGGTGGTCTTCTTTCTGTTTTCTAAAAAGTCACGGTACATTCTCAGGGTCAGGGAGCATGAAGTAACACAAAGAACACGCCGAATGTCAGATCCTTCTGGCCAGAGTTGCTTAAGCAGAGAAATTATTTCGGATGCCTGTCACAGAAGGAAATTGTAAAATGTCATGGTGCTTACAAAAATGTTTATTCATAAGTGATCTTACTAGAAGAAATCATACAGAAAAGGATAGATTTGACCACATGAAACTATAAATATTTCTATTAAAAACTATAAACATTTTAATGAGAAAATCCAACAAATATTTCAGTGAAATCCTTAAACATTTAAATGTGTAAAGAGTGCCTATAAATCAGTAAGAAAATATCTGAACTTTTAATAAGACATGAGCAGATAATGCACAAAAGAAACACAAATATAATAAAAGAAAAAATGTTTAATCTCTTTAGTAATAAAAAGAACAATTAGATGTCATATTTTTACTTTCAAGTTAGCAAAGTGTATTTTAGTGATAATAGCACTGAAATGTGATGCCATTTCTATCATAGTTTCTCGTAGTTTGCTAATGATAATATGAATAGGTACAGAATTACTGCAAAGCTATTTGGCAGTACTTATGATTATCATTAAATATGGTGAAGCTTTTTTATTGGCCGTTCACGTTCTAAATCTAGGTTGGGTAAATAATACAAAATGTGTAACAAGATTTATGTACCAAGATGTTCACTACAAAGTTATTTGTAAAAGCCAATTTTCAAACAATTTAAAAGTTTAGCATTAGGGAATTATTATGCATCCAGTAAAAAATAAAAATTGTGAAGAATTTTTTATAACTAAAAAACGTGTAAATAATAACATTAATTTAGAAAGTGAATAAAAAGGATATATGTAATATGTCTCAATTGTATAACAATACATAGAACACCATTGAAACAATATATTTTTTAAAATGTGACTTTCTACCTCTAAGTGGAAAAACTATGTGTAAAAATGGTATAATGAGTATGAAAGGTTTTCAGAGAAATAACATTATGACACACTGAAATCTAGATACACTTCTATTAATGAAATTTAAGTCTCCCCATATTCCAATATGAGGCATTGTATTACTCACAGGAAATATTTATATTTTTTTATTTGTCTTTATTGTTGAGAGCATTAAAGATGTCCTCTTCCCCCTCCATTTCTCCTTCCACCCCACTCCCCAGGCCTTCACCACATTTTCCTAAAATCCTATCATACGCACATAGATATATAGTTTTGTGGGATTTCCATGTAGCTAAAAACAATAGAGTCTATAGTAACCTGCTTCCTAAAAAATATTAAACATTTTATTTATATCTATAAATATTCTTCACAAAGTCATCCACTCAGAATTAAGAAGACAGACTAGTGATACTACAAAATAACTGTATAAGGGAACCATTAACAGATTCCAGCTCTACAATCCCTCTTGCTCCTGAACCCCACTTGCCTTAAATCAAGGCTTTGTAGTGACCAAAGGGAGACTGACCAAAAGTGCAGAAAACATAAAGGAGAAACATTGGTGAAAAGTGAACTGGAAGAACCACCAGCATTAAATCTACCCCAGTCTGAAAATACAATAAATGGTAACCAGGTAGCACAGAACACAAATTACAGAAGACAAATTTCAAATGACTGGTCTGCACAACTTATAGCATCAGATGGCATATAAAAGGGCCAGGCACACGATTTAAAGAGACAGACTGGGTGCATAAGGGCCAATATAACCTTGAAAAGATAGGAACTACTTACTGAATAGGAGTCACTTAAAGGAACAATCTTCTGAAAACACAGCTCTGGGTCCTTGGCAGATCACCCCTGCACCCAAGCCTCGGGCCACCCCTGCCTCAACCAGGCCTCCTGCCTCCCCCGGGGAGGCCTCCTACGTGTGCCTGTGCGCCGGGGGCTTCTCGGGGCCCCACTGGCAGACGGGGCTGATAGAGAAGTCAGCAGGGGACCTGGACGCACTGGCCTTAGATGGACAAACCGACATCGGTATCTCGACGCTGTGACCAGAGCGAGAAGGCGCTGCAGAGCGACCACTTGGAGCTGAGCCTGGCACCGAGGCCATGCAGGGAGGCGCAAGGCCTGGGAGCGGGCCGACCCCTGGCGCTGGCCAC